ATAAAAATTTTGCTTTAATAATTCCTTTTTGAGGTCGACCGGAATCAATGGATCTTCGGATCGAAGATCGATGTAAAACAGCAAAATGCACTCATTTTTGTAATGACAGAGGTGGCGACGACGTCGAATGCAGTTGCCGGACCGGTTTTAGCTTGGCACCGGACGGTTTCACCTGTGTCGGTATCTTTTCATAAATAAAAAGCTTAAGAAACGATAGTTTTTATAGTCTTTAAAATGAGAAGAAGCAGTATAAACCTGGGAGAACAGCTGTAGAAAAAAATTTTCAAAATTGAAAAATTGCGGATTATTGCAGCTTCTTAGTCACGTGATGCAGCAAGGGTATTAATTTTTTGTCAAATTTAATAAAAATTTTAATTTTACAATGATTTACACAAATATATCCTAATTTCTCTTTCATTAAGCTTATTAACTATAAATATAGCTTTTGCATCTTTGATATTTACCACTGTTGTGTGGTTTAGCAAGGTTTCAAGCGTAAATGCTTTAAATATGAATAATTTTTGTAGCTCTTGTTTGTTAATACTGAAGTGAGCGTTTTCAGTTTTGGAATTTTATTCAATCATCAGGCTATCAAATAGTTTTGAAAATTATGATTTCATACTTTCACAGACATAGACGAGTGTTCGGTAGGTCAAGAAGGAGTGAAAACAGGATGTAGGGACAACGAAATTTGTGAAAATCTAGAAGGCGGTTATCGCTGTTATAACCCAGATCAGCGACCTATCATGCAAGAAATTAGTACAGTAAGATATAGGAATAACGCTAAACTTCGAAAAAGAACTAAGAACGAAAGCCATCTGGCGTTGTCGGAAACCAAAACAAAAGAGGCTTCCGAACCAAAAGAGTCTGAAGAGGTAGTCAATACTACCACTACTGCTACGCCGTTGTGTCCTAAAGGATGGATTCCTTCAGCAAGCGGCACTTGTACTGGTGAGAAAGCTATAGAAAATCGTGAAACACTAACTGGTTGTTGAAAACAGTGCTCCTCTCAAACATTAACCATAACAGACTTAACTGTTACTGATAACAGCAAATATTTTTTTTTTTTTT